AAAGAAGATATTGAAAATCGCGAAAAACCGTTTCGGGGGTATCCAGAATTAACCCCCCTTAACCCCTCCAGCCCCGCTCTTAAATGGCAACCCCATACTTGTGACACATCGTTGGAAAGCTACTTCCATGCTTTCCAGTGGTACCAATAAAATCAATATTGATTAAAGACAATTTAACAAAAATTTAATAATTAACAAAAAAAACTAAATGTTGACATTGAGGGATTTATGGCAAATTGGCCAAGAACTTCAACCTGAGCTGCTTCATTAAGCAATCTTGGTTGCTTTCTTTTTTTATTGATAACAGATCCCGTTTCTTCGAATTTAGCGACCTAATCTTGAACATAGGTATGGCTTAATTTTTAATTTTTTTGTTATTAAATTTTTGTTAAATTGTCATAATAAATATTGACTTTATTGGTACCACTGGAAAGCATTTTTCAGTAGCTTTCCAACGATGTGTCACAAGTATGGGATTGCCATTTAGGATTTTTGAAGAGAGGCGTTGGGGGGTTAAGGGGGGTGGGGGTTGTCACTCATAACGTCATTCTGGTTCTCCCTCGATACCCCCGAAACGGTTTTTCGCGATTTTCTATATCTTCTTTAATTTGGAAAATATCTCCGACTGCAAGTTTTAAAATTGACACCCTGTATATGATCTAAGCTGACAGAGTATGCGAATAAGAATTATTCCCCTGATTCGGTAGGAAGCGATTTAGTAAGTTTCTTATGATTGCCTCAAATCTGACCCCTCTGTTCGAAAATGTTGGCGAGGCGAAAGAAAGCCTCGCAAGGAGCTTCAAATGGTTTTGATTGAGGTCCATAGGATTAACCCTTAAGAGATTGTTGTTCTTGTTTAGTTTGGAGCTCATGTTTATAATTCTATTTTAATTGTAAGTTTATTTGACTAGAAACTGTATAACGGTAGACAGAGTTTGCGCTGCTTAGGGTCAAATCTGCCGCATAAAGAGCCAACTACCTCAGGGTTAGACAATACAATACAAGCTCTTCTTCACTTCGCTAGCACTTACCGATGGGGTTGAGCGCCACTCAATTTATATCTTAACTCTCCCCGTATAAAATTGAGAAGATATGAAGGTACAAAAGAGATACTGGTCTATTCTAAATATCAATTTATTTACCTTGTAACTCTAAAACTGAATCACATTAATTACACAAAATATTCTCATATACGAATTTCGCCAAACGTATACGTTAACCTTCAAAGAAAACTCCCTATTAATTTCACCCAAAAGAATAAAGTATATAATTAGTTGATTAATGCCTGAAGGACCTCGCTATACTCGTAATCTGCTCCCACGGTACTTAATTGGCCAACCTCTTCAAGAAGACGTGGTGGTCTCCAACAACGCGTTTCAAACTCGATCATAATTTAACCGAGATGGCAAAGATATTGATGTTCACAAATTTCTTGAATGTAATCGCATATAACTCTGAAGGGGCAATATATTTATCAACTAAGA